GTGCTGGGGGAGGGCTGCTCTCCTGCTCCCACAAATCTGCTGAGCAGCCCGCAATGCACAGGACGCCCCCCAAGCAGCAGAGAGAACGTCTGATGGAAGGTGTTGGCGATGGTTCTGTTGGGGCTTCTGGCCAGGAGGGGCAACGGCGCCGCCCGGAGGCCTGGGCCGAGAATCTGAGCGCATGGAAGCCCCGTGAAGCATGTGGGCTGGGAGGGGCCTGCGTGGCTGCAGCTCCAGCCCACACCCCTGCTCCCGCGGCTGCAGCGCCGGGCCGGCCACCGTGCGGGCTCATGACTGCTTCCTGTCACCCGTGTGGGAGACCCGCGGTCTGTCTCTGCCTCTCAGGTTCAGCCCCTCACCTGGCCCGGCCACTGTGGGTATCGGGAGTGCGCAGGTGGGTAGGAGATTGTCTCTCCCTGTCAATCTACCTTTTGAATCAATCAGTATGAAGCTATTTAAAAGTGGAAGCCCATCCCAGAAGCAGCAGCGAGACGTGCTGGAAGCAGCCGCAGGACTGGGTAATGGGACTGCATTTGATGGGTGACGCCTGTCGCTCGGTGGGCGTCTGGCAGAGAGGTGACACTGCCCGGGACGCCTGCACCGTGTCAGCTCTCGATGCCGTCTCTGGGCAGCAGGCGCCGGCCAGGTAGCGCGATCCCTGCCGTTGCATTCCCAGCTCCCAGCTGTGGCCTAGCCCAGCCCCAGCCATTTCGGGCGTTTGGGAAGTGGGCCGGCGATGGCGAGCTCTCTGTATCTGTCCAGTTTCTGTCTCTCAGCATCCTGGAGGCGGCATTGTGGTGCGGTGGGTTAAGCCACTGCGATGCTGGCATCCCTCACTGGAGGGCGACTGAGTCCCGGCTGCCCCCCTTCCTGTCCAGCTCCCTGCTAATGCGCCTGGGAAGCCAGTGGAAGACGGCCCAAGTGCTGGGCCCTGCACCCACGCGGAGACCAGGTTGGAGTCCCTGGCTCCTGGCTCTGGTTTGGTCCAGCCCCAGGTGTTGCAGCCATTTGGGGATGAACCAAGCTCGCTCGCTCGCTCCCTCCCTCCCTCCCTCTCCCCCCCCTTCTGTCACTGTGCTTTCAAATGAACCAAATGAGCAAACTTAAAAAAAAAAAAAAAAAAAAAAAAAACACTGAGAAAGCGAGCGCTCTGTGCTGATGGGTTCTCAACCTCTTCCTGCATTTTGGGTCAGGACACCCCTGGTTGGGGGTGGGGGCTCTCTGGGCTGAGACTGGGCGGGGAAGAGAGCTGGGAGCCCCCGGGAGCCCCCAGCAGTGCTGTGTGCTGCTCCCAGGCCCTGGGCTTCCCGCCCCCACAGGCAGCCCGGTGTCTGTGCACGTGGCCTTCACCACCCCCCCCCCCATCCTGTTTTGCGTTCAGGGCAGCAGCAGCCCTAAGCCAGACCCTGGAACCAGCCTGGTACCTCAGCTCCACCCCCCCCCCCCGCCAGCCCTCGCGAAGTTTGTCCCTGCCGCTTCTCCCTCCACCCCAGGGCCCTCCCCCAGCACACACCACGGCTGGTCCACCTGCAAGGGGGCTTCCTCCCTCGCTGGCGGGCTGCAGTCCAGGGCGGCACCTCCGTCTGGCAGCCCCAGGGGACAGCAGAGAGTGGCCTGGCTCCAGCGGCGGTGCCGCCGCCCACCACACGCTCCAGGTGGCTCTCCAGGTGGAGGGGCCCCCCGGGAGTGCAGCGGGGGCGGCATTCCGTGCGGGCCCCCGGTCCCCGCGGTCCTCCAGCCTCTCAGTTGGCTCCGGCTGCACCTGCTCCACACCCCCGCCTCTGCCCCCCCCATCCAAATGTTCTGAGGGCTGGGAGGCAGGGAGCGTCCTGGACACGTGCCTTGGCTGCGCACCTACTGCGTGCCAGGCACAGGGCCAAGACCCAGGCCCACAGGTCGGAGTGGGGGGCCGCTGTGACCCCGCCAGCTGCTCACTCACCCTGTGTGGCCCTTGAGGGGGGCGGTGGCTGCCAGGCCCAGCAGGGGTCTGGGACCTCTTAGCTCTGACCTCCAGGGTGGGATTCAGATCAGTAACAGCACAACTCAAGGCACCCCGTGGGGGCCGAAACAAGACCCCCGACAAGCAGGGTCAGGAGATCCCTGAAGCAGGCAGCCGAGGACAGAGGAGGGCACTCCCGGGAGGTGGCCAGCTGGACAAAGCGGCCTCAGCGAGGGGAGGGGGCCGGGCTGAGGTGCGAGGAGGGGCTGCAGCTTTGTGCCAGAGGCCCTGGGGCCGGCTCAGCGGCTGGGGGAGGCCCGTGGGGCCGCACGCATTGAATCCAGGCATCAGCCTCCTGCAGCGGTCACATACGCTGGGGTGGAAGAGGACAGGGCAGCCCTGGGGAGGAGCCCTCAGAGAGACCCTGACCAGGGGCCCGGAGCCCACGCAGCTCTGCCGCCCCACCTGGACACCAGCTTCCCAGCGCTGCCCAGCCGGGCCACACCTGCGGGAGCGCGCGGCCAGCCAGGGGTCTCCCTTTGCTGCTACCCTCGCATCCCTGGGTCCTGAGCCCCATGGTCTCTGGACTTCCTGGCACTCCCACCGCCCGGCGCGGGAGGGGGCTAGGCTTCCCAGACAGGCCGGCAGGACGCCCCCAGGGGAGCCTCAAGACCACTTCCAGCCAGAGGCCGGCTGGGCTCTGCGCTGGCAGCCGGCGCCCCCCCGCCCCCCCGCAGCAGCCGGGGCTGACTCTGCCGCATCCCTCCTGCCACCTCGGAGGAGCCCCGCGGGCACCGCGGGGGCGGCCCGGGGGCGGGGCCACCGAACCGTTATAGCTGGGCCCACGGGGGACCGCCACGCGCCTCCAGCCTCCCGCGCTTCGGCTCCCGACGCCCGGACCCCGCCGCGCGCCGGACCCAGCCGCGTTGGTTGCTGGCCCGCCCCGCCGGGCGGCCGTCGACGCTAGAGCCCTGGCGCGGGGCCAGGGAGTGCGGGGCCCGGAGCGGGGGCCTCCGGCGAGCCGGCCGCTGCTGGCGCTGGCCCTGGCGCTGCTCCTGCTGCCGCTGCCCGCCGGCGCCTGGTACAAGCACGTGGCGAGTCCCCGCTACCACACGGTGGGCCGCGCCGCCGGCCTGCTCATGGGGCTGCGCCGCTCGCCCTACGTGTGGCGCCGTGCGCTGCGCGCGGCCGCTGGCACCCCGGCCTGGGACGCCTTCGCCCCGGGCGCCGCGGCGCGCGACGCCCTCCTCCTGCGTTTCCCGGGGCTTTGGGAGCCGTGGGAGGCGCCACGCCGGAGCTTCACAGCTGGGCGCCCCGTGCGTGCGCCCCGCAGCCCGCCCGCCCTCGAGTGGCGGCCGGGGCCCCGCTCCCCCAGCGCAGCGGACCCAGCCAGGTACGCGGGGGGGTGGAGCGGTGCGGGAAAGGTCGGACCGCCGCGAGCGAGGGCGTCCCGGGAGGTCTGGGCCCGGGGCCCGCGTCCCACCCTCGGGCACAGCGGAGGTCGCCCGGCCCCCTCCCCACGGTGCTGCCCTATTCTTTCTAGACCCTTCGGAGAGACGGATCGCGCCCCGCCGCCGTATCCGCAGCGAATCCCCCTCGCCGGCCCCCGCCTGGCCCGCGGACAGCTGTGAGCCTCCCGGGCCGCGACGCCCCCGCGCCTGCCCCGAGAAGAGCTGCCGCGGCGTCGGCCGAGCCGGGCCGTGTGGTCAATAAAACCCGCCTGGCCGCTGCGCCCCCGCGAGTGACCCCTCTGTGCTGTGTACTTTGCCGTCCAGCTTCGCGCCGCAAACAGCCGCGCCCACGCCCTGGCAAATGTCAGGAGGCCTCTCCGTGACCGGGAGACCGGGAGGGGGCCCTCAGCAGCCCCAGCGAACTGTCTGTCCGGGGGAGGGGGCAGGCAGACTCTGGGTCCCCTCCTCATTCCGGGATGAGGTAGGTCACTGGTCCCCGGGGTGTGGACTCCTAGGAGGGCAGGAGCCGGACAGACCCTGTGCCCTGCCCCAATCCAGGGATGTACAGGAAGGGGGAGAGAGGGAGGGAGCTCGTACCCGCCCAGCTGGACCCCCACCCCAGCCCACGGGAACGCCCTGCACATCTCCCAGCATGCATTCCAGTTCTGGGTCTCCTGGGGACCCCCGCCCCCTGCTCCAGCCAACGCGTCCACCACCACCACGCTCTCCTGGGGATGGGGGAGAGCCTCCCAGTCCCCCCCCCATTCCTGTTCTCCTGCAGCGCCCCCAACACGGGCTCTGCCATCCTGAATACCTGGGGTCTCCTCCGGCTGTCAGCTGGGCACTGTCTGGGCCCCTCCACTCTCTCGCTTCCTCTGGGACCCTCCGACTCCCACAGCCGCGCAGGACCTCAGGCCACAGGGGGGCTGTGCCCTGGCGTCCCGGGCCCTCCCCTGCAGTGTTGCATGGTCTCCCCTTGGGGCCAGGGAGGTGGGGTGGCCCCAGGTGTGCCCCACTAGGCTGGCTGCAGGAGGGCCCTGGGGAGCCAGCTTGGCTCTCCCCGGCAGCGCGACCCATCTCAGTCCTCCCCTTCACGCGGCCCCTCCCCTCATCGCCTGGATTCCGCCCCGCGCCTCAGCTCTGGAGCCGGGGAAGGCGTGGTCACTGGACCCTCAGCTGGACCCCTGCCCCCAGCTCTCACCCAGTCTGACTCTGAGCCTTGTCCACCCAGAAGCTCTGTGGTGCGGGCGTACCCCGGCCCCCTCCCTGCTCTCTGCTGCAGCTCCGGGTGGGTTCCAGGACAGCGTGGTGCTGCCCCCATAAGCAGGGCTCCAAAGTTCCCTCTCCCAGGCCGACATGCACGGAACTCCCCTTTCCTGTGTCTCGGATGGGTCCCCAGTGCTCACCAGTGCCTTGTGCCAAGTGGCCTCCTCCCGCTGGGGGAGGGGCCCGGATCTGCATCCGGGACCAGGTTCAAGGTGGACCCTGGGAGCCAGCTAGGAGCTTGAGGGAACTTGACTTCTCTGCCTACCACTCCCCGTGGCACACCCCATGACGGTAGCATAACCAGCCCCAGGGCGCCGGCCGACCGCAGTCCCCACCCCGCGGGACAGGGCCGGACAGGTCCAAAGCAGAGGCAAACCCTCGGACAGCGCAAGCCACGTACAGCCGCCAGGTGGCGCTGCGCGGCCGCTGTTCCGGGCTAGGGGCGGGGCCGGCCTGGGGAGGCGGGCCGGGCCCCTGCACCCTCCCCGGTCCAGGCTCCGAGTCCGTGTCCCGCCCTTTCGCGGCCGAGTTTGTGTTCCTTGGGCTTCCGTCGCTCTTGTCCCACCTGCCTGCTCCGGCAGCCCGAGGGGGTTGGCCCAAAGGGAGTCATTAGGGAGGCAGCGCCTGGCCCGGAAGCTCTGGGCTATCCCGGACCGCAGACGGAAGGCTCCGCCCTCTGCGGGGTCCCCCAGGCCTGTGTGCACCCCCAGCCCCCAGCCCGGGGTCAACGAATCACTCGGGCCTTGCAGGAAGCCTGCAGCCCACTGTGGGGGGGCGGGGGGGGCGTCTCCAGGGCTCGCTCTCCACCTCTTTCTTGGTCACCCCACTCCCACCCCACAGAACCCGCAAAACAGAGCCCACCCTCCCAATGGTGCTGGCCCTCCAGCCTTGCCACCCCTCCCAGATACACCAACAGTGGGGCCTGTGCCTGCCACACCCCTGTGTGCCCGGGGTCAGCCTCCCAGCGGGGGCGGGGGGAGAGTCGCCCTCCCTGGCCCTGCTGTCCCAGGGCCCCCTCATGCTGTCCCTGTCCCCTCTGGGGTCCCTCCTGCTGGGTCTCTCCTGGAGGCCTCCACAGAGTCCGTGGCTGTCACCCACCCCGCAGGGGAGCCCACGCCCTTCCCGGTTCCGCGGGGCCTTAATCAGCACTCACTGCGGGTCCCGAGCTGCTGCCTCGGTTCTCAGTGACAGGCAGCCCAGTCCTGGGCATGGGGGGGCGGTGACAGGCAGCCGAGTCCTGGGCTTGGAGGGGGGGGGCGGTGACAGGCAGCCCAGTCCTGGGCATGGGGGGGGCGGTGACAGGCAGCCCAGTCCTGGGCCTGGGGGGGGGAGCGCTGACAGGCAGCCCAGTCCTGGGCTTGGAGGGGGGGGCTGTGACAGGCAGCCCAGTCCTGGGCATGGGGGGGCGCTGACAGGCAGCCCAGTCCTGGGCATGGGGGGGGCGGTGACAGGCAGCCCAGTCCTGGGCATGTGGGGGGGCAGTGCTGTGACAGGCAGCCCAGTCCTGGGCATGGGGGGGCAGTGACAGGCAGCCCAGTCCTGGGCATGTGGGGGGGGCGGTGACAGGCAGCCCAGTCCTGGGCCTGGGGGGGGGCTGTGACAGGCAGCCGAGTCCTGGGCACGGCGGGTGGCGACAGGCAGCTGAGTCTGGGGCCACGGTGGGTGGTGGTGGTCTGCCTTAGGGAGGTGGGACCAGGGCCTTCTGTGAGCGGAGTTGAGGGGTTCAGGCATGCAACAGCGCTAAGTAGCAAGGTTTGCTGGGGACAGGGCGTCCGTCCGCACGGCAGGGAGAGAGCGGGCGCGTGCCTGGTCACTCACACTGGGGGCAGCAAGGCTGCTCGGGGGAACGGGGAGCCTGGCAGGCAGCCGAGTGCAGGACCTTGGTTCCCACGGACGGGTCCAGTTTTCCCCCGCCCCCGCCTCTCTCTCTACCCCCTCCCCCTTCTCTCCAGGTTTGGGGAGCCCTCGGGAGGTTCCCCTAGGGGCCTGCCTTGGAGGAAGGCCTGAGGGTTACTGCTGGGCGGCGGGCGGATTGCCCGGGGAGCGTCCCCTGGGGCAGGGCTCTAACACACACCCAGGCTCATTTCTAACTTCCCACCTAACACTTCCTCACCCCTCAAACAATGTGGCCACAAAGCTACAGCCTGGCAGGTACTGGGCGCTGCGGGGTGGGGGCACACGGTGGGCGCAGGGTCCAGGGTGCCAGCTGCAGCTGGACAGGCGGGTGGTCAGCCCAAGGCACCGACCCTCAAGACCTGCAGAGGTGGGGGTGGGGGCACCCACGATGCCACGAGCTCGTGGAGGTGGGCACCCAGGGGGCCACGGTGTGGGTGGGGGCTGGAGAGCCCAGGCCAAGAGAACTGGAGACGGGAGAGCAAGGGGTGAGGACTGGGGCCCACCTGGGGAACTGTCTGGACTGCTGCGCCCCACCCCTGGGGCAGGCTCGGGCAGGGGTCCCTGCTGGGCTGGCGCGGGGCAGGCCAGGCCGCCTCAGGCCTCAGCCGTGAAGGCTGCAGGCTTGGGCCGCACAGCCCTGGGCCTGGGGGAGGGGTGCTTCCCTCTGTGCCAGTAAAACTGCACCTGGAGAGGCCTGGCCAGGCAAAGTGCTGCTGGCGGTTGTCAGCCGCAGGGCAGGGGAGGCGTGGCAGAGGCTGGGGGCAGGTGCCAGAGACCTCGGCTCAGGTGTGCCGGTGCTGACCACAGAGTACAGAGGCCGAAGTCCCGGGGCAGGAGGCCAGCCCCCGACCGACCCTGCAGCCTGGGACTCCGGGGTCTGCCGGGGCCTGGGGTAGGCCTCAGCCAAGTGCGAGAATGGAGGGCCGACCTCTAAGGAGCCCACGGGCACACAAAGCCCACCCTGTCACTACGGCCTCCAGGGGCCTCCAGGCAGGTCGTGGGGCTCTGTGCAGGGCAGCCCTGGCTGCGGGAGGGTCCCGGGGGTGAGGGCAGTGGCTGGGGAGCAGGTGAACCGTGCGGGTGGGCAAAGGACCGCCCAGGGAGGGCAGGCAGGGCCTCACTCCGGGGCCTCCCTGGGGGTTCTGCCTGGGGCCACTGTCTCCCACCTGGCCCCCAGCTCAGGAGCCGGCTCTAGGCCCTGCACAGGAAGCCAGAAGCGCTGGCACCAACGTGCTGCCAGACACAGGGGTTCCCCGGCCCTGAAGCCTCCCCTCCAGAGCCCCTCGGGCAGCTGGGGCCGGGAGGCAGGGCCAGGCCAGCGCGTCGTGGACCCGGGGCGGGGGCGGCCGGGCGGCGGGGGCGGGGAAGGGGCGGGCGCGGGGGCGGTGCCCCAGCCCGAGCCGGAGCCCGAGCCGGAGCCCGAGCCCGAGCCCGAGGCGACTGGAGCCGAGCGAGCGCAACGCCGAGGCGGCCGCCCGTCCCCCGCGCCGCCCCCGCGCTCCGGCCTGCGGGCCCCGTAGCGCCGTGGCCAGCCCGCGGCCGGCCGGTGGTCAGCGGGCGCCATGGCCGCGCCGGAGCCGTTGCGGCCGCGCCTGTGCCGCCTGGTGCGTGGCGAGCAGGGCTACGGCTTCCACCTGCATGGCGAGAAGGGCCGCCGTGGGCAGTTCATCCGGCGCGTGGAGCCCGGCTCCCCCGCCGAGGCGGCCGCGCTGCGCGCGGGGGACCGCCTGGTCGAGGTGAACGGCGTCAACGTGGAAGGCGAGACGCACCACCAGGTGGGTGCCGCGCTGCGCCCCGGCTGGCTGGGCGCTGCCTGCGGGTGGCGGGCCCCGCACCTCCCCCGCGACGCTCAGCCCCGCACCGCAGCGCGGGGGAGGCGTTCTGGCAGGGAGGGGCCGCACTGCGGCTCCAAGCCGGCCCGCGGCCCCCTCCCCCCGCCTGGCTCCAGCCTGTGTGTCGGTGAACCCGGGTGCTTCCTGAGCCTGTGGGACTGTGTGACCGCGCAAGGCCTCCGGGGTCCTGCCCGTGTGGGTGCCAGCAGCCAGGCCCCTGCGCGTCTGGGCGGTGTAGACCGGCCAGTGTGTCTGCAGCCGGGGTGCCTGGATCCGGTGCGAGTTGGCAGTCCCTGGTGGCACATTCCATAGCTGCTGCGACCCTCACCCTCCTCGGGGCGCTGTGGCCACTGCCCCCTGCTCCTGCAGCTGGAGAGGGTAGGGCCTCTTCCCTTGCAGGCTGTAACCCCTGGGATGTCCGTCTCCCGCTGGCCAGGGACTCACCTCAGATCCTGGCCAGAGTCCAGCCTCCCTCCGGACCGGCTGCTCCGGCTGCTCCGTGTCCCTCACAGCACCGCTGAGCCTGTGGCCTGTCTACGTGGCCAGTACTGGGCCTAGGGGTTAGCAGACAGCTGAGCCACTGGCCGGGCTTCCCGGGGTCCCCTAGCCTCTGTCTTCCAGCGAGACTGGAAGCTGGGTAGAGCGGTGCTGTGTGCTGAAGTGCAGTGGGGGTCAGGGCCACAGGTGGGGGAGGCAGGGCTGGCAGAGCTGGCACCCCGCCTCTGTGTGACAGCCATGGCCATCCTCGCTCCAGCTGCACCTGCTGTTCCGGGCCCCTGGGCACTTGTCTGAGAACTTCACACCCAGCCCCAGCCCCAGGAGGTGCGGCCGGGACTCTGCTTTACAAATATGGAAACTGAGGCTTGGAGCTTCAGTTTGGGTCACAAGTCGGGGAGCAGGGCCGGGCGAGGACGGGCCTGGCTCGCTCCCCCCGTTGCTTGACAGCATCTGGGGAGCTGGGCAGCAGGTGGGAGCCTTCTGCTCCGCTCTTCCACAGGCCGAGGGCCATAGTGGGCACTGCCCTCTCCCTGCTGGCACACGCTGGCACCCTGTGTGCTCCCAGACACACAGCGCCTGGAACGCCGCACCTGTGCCACGGGCAGACCTGCCCCTCTCCCCGCTGTCCTCCTTACCCGACCGTGTGCGGGGGCCTGAGCGGGAACCCAGCTCTCAGCTGTCCGCAGGCCCAGCAGGAGTGGGTCTGTGGTCTGCAGGCAGACGGTCTGTGTCTAGGGCAGGTTGAGATTCCCGTGAGAAAGTTGAAAGCAAGCGAACATGCACAGCCAAACTAACACCCGACAGCACCTCCCGCCTCCAACCCGGGCTGGAAGGCAGACTTGGAAACAGATGGTGCGCACACACGAGCGTGTGCACACGCACGGGCAGACCGAGCCCCTGAAGCTCATTCAGTGCCGTCTTGGTCACCTCCACCCTGGGCTGAGAGCAGCTCAGGGCTGGCTGTGTCAGGGAGCCGGGGGCGGGGGGCGGAGCCGGCGGGGCCAGCCGCCCACCCCTGGCAGCCTGGCTGCCTGTCTGCCTGCCAGCCCAGGCCATCCCGGAGTGGTGCCACCGTCCACGTGCTGCCCGGGCTGCCGGCCGCTGACCTGCCCCCGTCCCTGCCTGCCCCAGGTGGTGCAGAGGATCAAGGCTGTCGAAGGGGAGACCCGGCTGCTGGTAGTGGACAAGGAGACGGACGAGGAGCTGCGCCGGCGGCAGCTCACCTGCACCGAGGACATGGCCCAGCGAGGGCTCCCGCCCGCCCACGACCCCTGGGAGCCAAAGCCGGACTGGGCACGTGCAGGCAGCCTGAGCTCTGACGCTGGCCAGAAGGTACGGCAGCCTCTGCCCGTGCGGCCACCCTGGCCTCTTGACAAGTCTTCACCCCGCCCCGGCTGCCTTCTGGGTCCCTCTTCTCTCAGTCCGAGTTCCTAACTGGGGGTAGACAGGGCAGCTCGGCCCCCTTCCCGGCTCGCTCTCTGTCCCTGCCCTTAGCCTGGCCCAGGGCGATGAGGCCCTTCCTGCCCGGTGGGCGGAGTCACCGGACCCTGGGAAGGAGCGAGCCTGGCCCCTCAGCAGCGTCTGCGTCTCTGTCTGTTTGTCTGGTCTGAGTGTAGGGTGAAGCCCTCGGAGAGAGCTGGCCCCAGCAGCTGCTGTGCGCAGCCTGGTTCAGGAAGCTTCTAGGGCGAGCCCACCCTTCCCCCAGTCTTCAGCAAAGACCCCCCAGCCGCAGGAGGGGTGGGGACCTGGAAGTAACCCTGCGGGGCAAGCATGTGAGCCCTGGGGAAGAGCCGTCTCCTACCTCTTTGGTTGACCACATCCCTTGGGGGGTTCCGCCTAGGGGTTCCCCAGATTCCGCTTTGAGAACCCCCGGCCTGGGGGCAGTGGAGGTATTGGGCCTAACGTGTGGGGTGGGCGGGGGCCTTCACGTGGACCTTTTTCCTTTCCCACCCTCTCCCACCACAGCTGGCTGCGCTGTGAGCTGGGCCCCGGGGGGCCCGTCCTGGGCGGGCTGGCGCTCCCGGTGGGACTCCTTGTCCTGGGCAAGGCCTGGCCTGGGAGCCCACGGGACACTCTTGGCCTTCCGAGAGGTCAGGGCCGCAGGTGCTGAGCCCTGGAGCCTGGACTTTTGCCCCAGGGCCACGAGGGCCAGAGTCTCTGCAGGGAGCCCTGGCCCGGCTGCCTTGCGGGAGGGCCCCCGGGCTGAGGCCTGGAGCCGCAGTCTTTCTCAGGCACCCCTCCCTGTCCCAGGAGGAAGCCCCCCCACCCCGCTGCATTTGTCCATTGATTTAGACACAAACGGCCCGGTTCACCTTCCTGTGGAAAAATCCGCCCAGGGTGGGGTGGCCCTGGTGCCCCGGGTCGCGCCTTCCCCTCCGCTCCTTGGAGCTCTGGGGGCTGCAGGAAGCCCTAGGAGCGGCTTCCTCTGGCGATTCTTGGAGGAACGAGGCGGGCCCCGGCTGGCAGGTCCTTCTGTGCCAACCGGGCTGGCCTCGGGGACAGGGCCAGGAGGCCGGGGGCAGGGTCCCCCCAGCAGGAGGTGCTGGGCTCACTGTGACCTCCAGGAGCAAGGCTCAGGCCTCCCAGGGCTGGGTGTGGGGGGTCCTGGCCTGAGGGCAGCTGGCCGGCCAGTGCCCACCCGCAGGGACAGGGACTGGAGAGTGCCCGCTCTGCTGCAGCAAGGGGCCCACGGCCGGTGCCCCGTGTCCGGGGAGGGCCGCTCTCGCCCTCTCTGCCCTTCAGCGTCGGGACGACGGGAGGTGGGCAGGGGGATGACGGCTGCGGCAGCCCCTCCCCCTGGGGGCTGTGAGGGCCTCGTCAGTGGTGACTCAGCCCTGGGCCACACCGGGCTGGGGTGGCTGCAGCTGCAGTGCAGCTGATCCCAGCCATGACGACAGGGACAGCCCCCACACCACGACAGGGCAGCCAGCTGTGCCAGCCCCAGCCTGTGCCCCCAGCCACCCCGCACTGGGAGGGCCTTGGGGGGAAAAGGGCAAGGGGCTGGTGCTTCTGAGGAGGGTGCGGCGTCTGCACCTGGGCCCCTGCCCCCCCCCCCCGAGGCATGGCGGGGCTGCCCTGGGCTCTGGGGCCGGGTCCTCTCCCTGGCCCCCGTCTTCCCAGCCTTGGGTCTCGGAGCAGGGCGGGGCCTCCCAGCCGCTTCCTTCCTTCCTTTCCCGGGACGGAAACTGAGCTGGGTGGGGGGCGCCCGGCTGGAGCCTCACTCAGCAGGAGAGGGGGCTCGGGCACCACCCTGCTCCCCAAAGTGACTCAGCCCCCAGGTCCCCACCCATCCCCCCGGGAGCCTGGGTCACAGTGGGAGGGAGATAAGTGGGGTGGCAGCCGGCTGTCCCCAGAGCTTCGGTCACTCCAGCTGGACACCCGCTGCCTGCCACCTCCGTCCCGCCTCTCATGGCCCGCTCCGGCAGTGCCACACCGCCCGCCCCTGTCCCGGGAGCCCCTCCACGGAGCCCCTGTCGGGGGCTTGTGCAGGTCAGGTGGGGCTGGGGATGGCAGGACGGCGGGGGCCCCCCGGGCCTGGCTTAGCCCCACAGCATAGGGAGAGGGGACGGAGCGGGTGGCAGGGGGGACCTCGGGGGAACCGCTGGCCCCTGACAACAATGCTGGCCTTTCTCTGCCAGGGCTGGTGAGTCACCACGGGGGGCAGCATGGCTCCCGGACACCCCCATGCCAGCCTCTGTGTGTGCTGGGGTTTGCGCGGCTCTGCAGCTGACTGGCCGGGAGCCCATGGGAGCCGGAGGGCCTGGCGGGAGGCTGCAGGCGGCAGGAAGCGCGTGGAGCTGGGGCAGGGAGCAGGAATGCGAGCAACGCGGCCTCGCGTGGGCTGCGGCGGTGGCTCCGTGCCCCACCGCTGGACGCTCTCTGCTGAGTCCGGAACCCCTGGGCCCTGCTGGTAGCCGGGGGACTTAGGCCGCAGTTAGGAGCAACCCTCAGCCTGTGCCGTGAGAGCCGGCTCTTCTGGACTCCGGCAGAGGCCGTGGCCCGGTGGCCCCAGATGCCTGCCAAGTCCTGCTTCCCATCTGGGGGCCTCTTGAAGTCCCGCCCTGCGGGCCACGGTGGAGGGCGTGGGAAAGGCCTGGCGGGCCGGCACGGCCAGCTCGTGGTGACTGTGCGTGCCTGGGGGCCGTGTTTACCCGTGCTGCACACACGTCTTGTCTCTGTGACCACGTGATGACCTCTGTGACCTGGGCCTGTGTCCCCCGCCAGGCACGGCCACGCTCCACGTGACTGGGTCCTGTCTCTGCTGTTCCTGTCCCTCGGCTGGGCTCCACGTGTCTGTTTGTCTGAGAGGCTGACCTCTGTGGGGAGGTCCCTGGCTCTTGTCCAAAGCCCTGCACCTGGGCCCGGGCCCCCGAAGGTCTCCCCCACCCCAGTCGGCACGTGTGCCGCTGTGGAGCCAGGGCTGTGAGGTGCAGAGGACGCGGGCTGGGCAGGGGAGGGTGTTCCAGACCCGTGGGGGAGACCCAGCCTGCCTGGCCGGCAGACGTGTTTGTACTGAGCCGGGCAGGTGCCTGCGGACATGGGCTCCTTCCAGACTGAGGGTTTGCGGTGAGCTTGGGGGCCTGGAGGCCAGAGTGGTCAGCGAGTGATCCAAACTGCAGGGGTCGGGCGCCTGAGACCAGAGCTTGCCCCCGAGGTCTGAGAGTTCTTCCCGCGCTGTCCCCAGCCCCAGCCTGGCCCAGGGTCCCTGGGTGACGGGGAGGAGGGGCCCCGTGAGCGCCCTGGCCCCAGTCACCTGCACACGCCCCGGGCACTCCCGGAAACCCGAGCTGCCACTCACCTGCTCATTGCGGCTACGGCCACGTGTAATTGGGCACCAGTGGCCGCTGGCCTTTCAGCACTGCAGTCGCTGGCCGGCCGGGGCCCGGTGGGGGACACTGGGCCTGGCCCTGAGTTTGGCCCCTTGGTTCGGAGCCCTCCTGCAGGATGCCAGAGGTAAAGTGAGGTAGGGTCCCCTGGGCAGCGGAGGGGGTCCATCGGGGGCACCATGAGGCCTTCAGGGTGTCCGGCGGGGGGGAGCCAGGCCCTGATCTCCGTCCGGCCCAGCCCTTTCTCTCGGGTCCCCTGGAACGGGGTCGGCGGGGCTGCAGATTGCCTGGGATCTGAACGCTGACACGGGGCAGAGGTGTGGGGCGTAGGGGCGGCAGGAGGGGAGTGCACAGGTGGACCTGGGGCCCGGCGCCCCAGGAGCTGTGAAGGGAGGCAGGTCAGCGGCTGGTCTCACACGCCCGGCCCGTGCCACGCCCGGCCTGTGTGCACGGAGCCCCGAGGCCCCCGTGAAGCAGGACTGGACGTGGGGGCTCCGTCACAGGCAGCCTCAGCAGGAGCCGTCCCCTCCCCTGCGGCCGCCGGAGGCACTACAGTGAGTGTGTGGCCCAGGCAGGCTGGCGGCAGAGCCTGAGCCAGCGTCCCCTGCACGTGCAGGACGTCAACGGGCCCCCAAGGGAGCTGCGTCCTAGGCTCTGCCACCTGCGAAAGGGACCCCAGGGCTACGGGTTCAACCTGCACAGTGACAAGTCCCGGCCCGGCCAATACATCCGCTCCGTGGACCCCGGCTCTCCGGCCGCCCACTCCGGGCTCTGCGCCCAGGATCGGCTCATTGAGGTACGAAGCCCAGAGGCTTTGGGGTGCCGGGTGCCCGTGTGTGTGCCTCCCCGCGTGTGTCTGCAGGGATTTGCCCTCAGCCCTGTGAGGGAGGGTATCGGTGCCCTTGTCTGTGTCCGGCCCCGGGCCCCTGCTGGAGGGAGCTGCCGGGAACCTGAGCGGGCGCCCGCTCCTCTCCAGGCCTTGGCTGGTGGTGGCTTTGATGAATATTTGATGCCACACCTGGCGGGGCCACGTGGGGGCTGGCTGGGCCCCTCGGGCTGCTGACCTGTGGGGATGCTGGCGGCAGGTGAACGGGCAGAATGTGGAGGGGCTGCGCCACGCCGAGGTGGTGGCCAGGATCAAGGCCAAGGAGGACGAGGCCCGGCTGCTGCTGGTGGACCCCGAGACGGACGAGTACTTCAAGCGGCTGCGGGTCACGCCCACCGAGGAGCACGTGGAAGGTGGGCGGCGGCCCCGGGCACGGGGAGGGGCGTGTGTGGGGGCCAGAGCAGCCACAGACATGCTGTCCCCACAGGTCCACTGCCATCACCAATCACCAATGGGACCAGCCCTGCCCAGGTGAGAGGCTGGGCCCACGAGGCCGCAGGGGCACCTCTGGGGGTCCTCTCCCCGGCAGTCTCTGTCCTTGGATGGGGGTGGGCGTGAGACCGAGCTCTGACCCATCCGTCTGTCAGGCCCAGCTTTAATGCTATTCTGGGCCACACACGGTGGGCAGAGGCCTGGGGTCCTGGTGCCCCTGCCCTGTCTCCTACCCCACCGGCACTCCCTGGCTGTTGAGTGCCCCAGGTCAGGATGCCAGGCTCCCCAGGGCCGGCCAGCTGTCTGGGCACTGCTGGGCACCCCGTGTCCTGCCCGGCTGGGCCCGCAGAGTAGCAGAGCCGTGGTGCCCGTGGCTGAGAGGAGCGGCAGATGCAGCTGTGGTGTGCGTGGGAGCGTCTGTGTGCACCTGCGGCTCCCCAGGTGGGAACCCGGAGCACAGCCTGCCCTTGGTTTCCTAGCTCAATGGGGGTTCTGTACGCTCCTCCGGAAGCAGCCTGCCCGGCTCAGACAAGGACACCGAGGGAACCAGACGCCCTCCCGGCTCCACTGTGGTGCTCACACACACGGGGGGCCGGAGGCCTTGGGCAGCGGGGGCCACCACCTCCGGCCCCGCCCCACCGGTGTCCCCAGCCGGCGCGGTCGAGGGTTCACTTTTGCTTCCTGCCCACCCCAGGATGCCAGTGCGTGGAAGCGAGACCCCTTCCAGGAGAGCGGCCTGCACCTGAGCCCCACGGCGGCTGAGGCCAAGGAGAAGGCGCGAGCCACGCGCGTCAACAAGCGGGCACCGCAGATGGACTGGAACCGGAAGCGTGAGATCTTCAGCAACTTCTGAGCCCCCACCGCCTGCTCACCGGACCTGGGCCTGCCGAGTGCCCCACGCCTCAGTGGACTGGGGGGTGGGCCCACCGCCACCCAGAAACCAACCGTGCCCCCGTGAGCCCTCACCCCGCCCCTCCCACCCACTGGGTGCTGGGGACCAGGCAGCTGCTCCTAGTTGGGTGGGGAGAGACCCAGAGAGGCCGGGACCCAGAAAGATAACGCAGAGACCGAGAGAGAGAGAGAGAGAGAGAGAGAGAGAGAGAGAGAGAGAGAGAGGGGTTTGGTATGGGGGCAGGGCACGGCCCACGGGGCCAGGGCCTTTGCTGTGGGCCCAGGCCTGCTGACTGAAAGGAATTTGCGTTTTTGCTTTTTTTTTCCCAAAAAGATCTTCAGCTGCACACATGTTTCCACTTAATACCAGAGCCCCCTCCCCCGCTCCCTCGGGACAGGCTCTCTAAATAATTGCAATAAAACAAACCTTTCTCTGCAAACCAGTTCCTCCCCACCCCCTCGGCAGGCCTTCCAGAGTCCTGGGGGCTTCCCGGACACAGCCAGCCGGGGGAGCCGCCCCTCTGCCCCAACCCTGCGCTCCCTGGTGGGGGCCGTCGCTAGGCCTGGGGCCCAGGCTGGAGGATCCCCTCTCCCGCGGAGCAGCCTCTGGACAGGCCCTTCGTCTTGCTCCGCAGCTCCCACAGCTCCCAGGCCTGGGCACGGGGGCACGCCAGTCGCCCACCCCTCCCCGAGCCCTGGGCCCTGCCTCGTGCCTGCCTGGCACCCACCGCTGCAGAGTGGCAGATGCCTCTGCCTGTCCTCCCACCCCTGAACCCCCGAACCGACCGACCAGCACTGCTGTCTGCCTTGTAAGCCATAGCGCATGCGCGCCCTCGGAATAAACAGGCCTGCCTTGGACCTGCCACCGTCCTGTGTGTGCCTTCAGCAGGGGGCGGGGCGTGGAGGAACGGAGCCATTCCTGGGGGCAGCCTGGCTGGGGCGGCTGTGTGTGGGGCTTCGGGGAACCAGGTCCCCTCTCCTCCTGGCCGCACCCTCCGGGGGAGTCCAGCCTCCAGGTGGGCCCAGCGAGGCCACGATGCCACTTTGGAAACGTGGGGGTGGGGGTCCGGGAAGTCTTAGGGCTGAGAGGTTGCTGGGCTGCAGCCCCCGCGGTGGGAGGGGAGAGCCAGGGGTTCAGATCCCCAGCCAGTGGCCCAGAGGCTGCCTCCCCCCATTTCCTCCCTGCAGGTTCTCTGCCCGCACTCCCTGCCCACTGCAGACTCAGCGCGGGCCGTCCTGTCCCCACCCTGGCCTCCATGGCTACCCCCTCCGGACACGGGTGCGTCCACGTGACACGTGCACACACGGCTCCTGGCCCTGCAGACAGAAGTCGCCAGGCCCCAGATACAAACAACCCCCACGCTTTATTAAACAGGCGGTGGCTCCCAGGCGAAGGCACTTCACACGCGGCCCCGGGCAGCCGGGCACAGGGTCTGGTTGAGGCAGGACTGGCAGCGGGGGTGGACGGGCAGGCAGGTCTGCTGGCCGAAGCCCACCAGCAGCCCGTTGATCTCACTCCACAGCTCTCTACGGAGACAAAAGCTGGGTGAGCTCCGAGGGGGGGACCCACGGTGGACCCCACTCCCCCAGCTGCCCCTGCCCCAGCCGCACCTGGGCAGCCAGCTCTCCAGGGCGGCACGGGTCTGCTCTGGGGACTTGGTCGCCTCTTTGGTCCACCGCAGGCGGTTGGCGATTCTGTGCACGTGTGTGTCCACTGCTGCTTGGGGGTGGGGTGGGGTGACCAGGGCGCCCTGGCCCTGTTCATAGCCCTGAGGGCTGGTCCCGAGGAGGCTGAGCCCAGGGTCTGGGTCCCCCACCCCGCTGCCCGGGCCCCCGGAGCTGCACGGCCCTCGTTGCTGCTCTCAGCCACCCCAGGAACCGCTGACTACATCCGGGGAGGGGCAGCCCCACTCCCACCACGCTGGAGCCCGGCGGGGCAGTGCTGGGGGCGTGCGTGCGTCTGTCTCTTCGGGACTGACTCACTCCCCCTAGCGTGGCACCCACTGAGGGGTTGGGGTCTTTCCCTTAGCAGGGAGTAAGGGGACAGCGTCTCTGCTCTGTGCTCTCCTTCCAACAGCAGGAACAGCCTGCTTGGCTGAGTGCTGGCTCGCGGCCGAGGCCGCAGTGGGAAGTCTCGGGCCCTCGCCCACCTCACAAGGTCCTCGCTCCCCAGCTCCCAGCCTCCCCGGGAAGGAGGCCCTCGCCCAGGAAGGGCCTTGCCCTGCTTCTCACTGCCTCACTTCCCGGCCCAGCACTGGCTGTGGGCACCCAGCGGACGAGGTCACTGCCCGCACAGCCACTCCACCAGGGCCAGGGCAGAGGGCAGGGCCAGGCCAGCGGCAGCCGCCACCCCGCTGGGCTTTGAGCCCTGCTCCCGTCCTCTGGCCTCCCCGAGGACCTAGCGTGGGTGCCTGTTGACCGGCGCCTCCTCCCTCTCCGGCTAGGCCGCCCTGGCCAGCTGCAGTCCTGGCCCTGCCCCTGCCCCTGCCCTGTTGTTTGCCACAGCAAAGGCCCATCCTCGCGCCAGCTCCCTCCCTCACGGCTAAGTGTCTGGGAAAACGTACCATCGTGCGGGTTACCCTCAGGGCCCGGCACCCCAGGCCCCTCCTCTGTGATACAGGGGTGACCCCCTGACGGCCAGCTGAGGCCCACCGTGTGCGGCTGCTGAGGGACACTGTTGGGCCTGCTTTGTGGCTACAGCTCAGAGAGGCCGAGTGTCCTGTCTGAAGCTGCCCAGCCAGGAGGGGCAGAGTTCCACCCTGCAGACCCCCCGGGAGGGTGACGTCCCTACTCCCGGGTCTGTGGTGCCTGCTGCTCCCAAGGCGCCCCCACCAGGCCACAGGCAGGGGCCCTCCCTCCCCCCCAGACCAGCCTGGCCGGCGCGCAGCGCTCCTGGGACACGGGCGGCCGAGGACAGCTGCCCGGGGAAGCTCAGGTGTCTGCCGAGAGTCTGGAGAGGCAGCAACGTGGGGCGTCCCAGTGGGGGAGGGGCCCCGCTCTGCCCCTGGTGGGGCAGCCGCCAGCTCAGAGCCGAGGCCTTCAGTCCAGCGGCCTGCTAGTGGGGTTCCTACCTCTCTCTGGGCCCCTGTGGGAGTTCCAGAGGAGGAGTCCGGGGGGAAGGGCACAGGGAGTCAGGGTCGAGGCTGTGTGGCCCCAGCAGCCCCGATTCCTCTGGGCAAAGCTCTGAGGAAGAAGCAGCCTCGCCCCGAGCCCAGGGGTCTGTGGGAGATGGCTCATCCTGCCCCCGCCCCGCCCCCACTCTGCCTGCCTCGCCCCTGCCTCTAGCCCCTGGCCTCTGGGCTTTGTTGTGAATGTGGTGGCTAGAATCTAGCTCAGGGTCACAAGGAACCCCGACGGCAGTCAGCGAGCCTGGCGCCGGTGCCAGCCCCGGCCCGCATCACGGGCCTGCGCTACTCACCGATGCCCGACACGGTGCCCCAGGCAACAGCCATGGCCAGGTGTGCCATCTTGGGCCCAACCCCCGGCAGTGCCACCAGTTCTGCCACGGAGGCTGGGATGTCCCCGCCGTAGCGCTGCTGCAGGATGGCGCTGGTCTGCTTGATGTACCTCACCTTGCTCTGAAAGACGGAGCGGAGAGGACGCCGCTCAGCGGCCGGGAGCTGCCCGGCACCTGCCCAGGACACAGGCAGAGCCACCTGCTTGCCTCGCCCTCTCCACTGGGCAGCAGGAGCCCACGGAAGCCTGGGGCAGCGCCACAAGGCTGGCCCGGCCCTCGCCTCCCACCTGAGGCCCAAACACGTCTGTGCGTGTGGGGTCTGGCTCCGGCCCCCGTGCCCCGTCATCCCCCAGAGGCCGGGCAGGCCGGCCGCCCCAGGAGCGGGGCTCAGGAAGGAAGGCTGGAGCCCGGGGATCCCCCGCCAGCCACTGGAGCCAGCAGGGCGGTTCCCATCCTGTGCTGAGCGGACAAGGCTATTTAAAGCCCATCTGAGAGCCTCCGGCCCACGCAGCGCCAGTGCCAGCGCCAAGGGATGCAGCCCCACCCGCCGCCCGGTGCTCCGCAGAGTAGGGGGGCAGCTGCAGGGAGCCGTGGAGTAAACACACGGCACAGGGCGGTGGGCGGGTCGACGAAGGGAGGGGGAGCAAACAGGAAGGGCCAAGGAGGGACAGGGAGGTCCAGCCCCTGTGGCCAGAGATGCCGCAGCCACCCGCACCGCATCTCTCTGGCCGTGCCGAGGCCCCGGGCCGGGCTCACCCTCCAGAAGCCCACGGGGTAGATGAGCCGGCCCAGCGTGTCGTCGTCCATCTGCAGGACGCTGTCGAGGGTCAGGCCCCGGGCCCGCAGCCGCTGCATGGCGCCCGCCGTGACCTGGTCTTTGGTCTGGCTGGATAGCATCAGCGACAGCAGCACCTGGTACCTGCGCACCTGTTACACGGGGACAGAGGCCGCGGTGGCAGCAGGACTGGGTGCTCACCCGGTCCCACTGCTGCCTGGCACCCTGGGCCACCCATCCGCTCGAGCCAACAGGACGTGGGGGGGCCGAGGCCTGTTTGGGACCTGCAACATGGGGACGGCGAGGGGCTGGCCTTGCGGGGTCAGCAGGAGATAAATCGTCACCGTGCTTAGCGTCCGGCACGGGCCACTCTGCAACAGCTGCCATTTAGCACTACTGCTTTTTTTTAAAAATTTATTTGGGCCGGCACCGCGGCTCACTAGGCTAATCCTCCGCCTAGCGGCGCCGGCACACCGGGTTCTAGTCCCGGTTGGGGCGCCGGATTCTGTCCCGGTTGCCCCTCTTCCAGGCCAGCCCTCTGCTGTGGCCAGGGAGTGCAGTGGAGGATGGCCCAGGTGCTTGGGCCCTGCACCCCATGGGAGACCAGGAAAAGCACCTGGCTCCTGGCTCCTGCCATCGGATCAGCGCGGTGCGCCGGCCGCAGCGCGCCGGCCGCGGCGGCCATTGGAGGGTGAACCAACGGCAAAGGAAGACCTTTCTCTCTGTCTCTCTCTCTCACTGTCCACTCTGCCTGTCAAAAAAAAAAAAATTTATTTGAAAGGCAGAGTTACACCGAGCAAGTGGGAGGAGACAGAGAGGTCTTCCATCTGCTGGTTCCCTCCCCAAATGCCCGCCATGGCTGGAGCTGGGCCAGTTGGACGCCAGGAGCCAGGAGCTTCAGGAGGGTCTCCCGCGTGGGTGCAGGGGCCCAGCACCCGGGCCGTCCTCCGCTGCCTTCCCAGGCCCATTAGCAGGGAGCTGGACCGGAACGGAGCAGCCGGGGACTTGAGCCAGCGCCCGTGTGGGATGCTAGCATCGCGGCTTCACCCGTCACACCAGCACTGGGCTCTGGCACTAGGTGCCGATCGCTTTGTTGACATTCTCATTTTACAAACAAGCAGACGGAGGCTCCGAGGGGCAGGTACCCCGCTTCCTGCTGCAGGGCAGGGATGGGGGCTCAGGTTGTTCTGGCCCCCCCCCCCGTTACTGGAGGGCTCTGAGGAGCAGGGCAGCATGCCCAAGCCACGGGTCCCGCAGCCCTGCTGAGTGGCCAGAGAGGCCAGCCACTGCCCAGTCCCCCAAGGTGAGGCTGGCAGGGAGGGGCTGCCCTTGCAGGAGGGGCCGGGGGCGCCAGGGGAGCAGGGGGTGTTGCTTACCTTTGGGGGGGCGCTGGCGTCGTAACAGTGCTCCACCCCCAGCTGGTCCACGGGGGCATCCCTCCCGCTCCTCATGACGCGGACGTTGGCCAGCTGCTGCCGCCAGTTCTCTGGCTCCCAGCTGGGCGCGGGCAGGGGCTCGGCCCCCACATCTCGCTCACCCTCCGAGGCCTCGTAAGCCACCTGCAGTCTCCGTGCCTTCCGCTGGCGCTTCCCGAGGCTGCGGCTTCTCCCTTCTGCAAACAGGCCCACTCAGTGCTCCAGTGGGGCAAACAGGCCCAGTCAGTCCCCCAGTGGGGCCTGGGGGGTGGACAGAGGCTGCCCCCTGCTCTCTGGTCCCCAAGTGTTCACGCAGCAGCCTTCCACCGCGCACGGCTCTTGGGGCTGCCCTGCTCTGCACGCCGCGGCAGTCCACCTCCCTAATGGCCCCTGACAGAGTTTGGGGCGTCAGCACCCGGGGAACCTTGCGGGTCCCCAGCGTACCCCTGCACTGCATCTCAGGCCTCTCTCCTTCCCAACACTGCCGTGGCTCCCCCCCGGCCCTCCTCACCCGCCTGCTCCGCACTCCAGCCGTTCCTCCCGCCCGGGGTGTGTGTGGGGTCCTTGGCTGCCTATGGACACCCCGCTGCGGCGGGATGGGACAGGTGCGCGGGCACCGGTCCTCAGCGGCTGAGAGAGAAGCAGCGGGGGCGCCCGGCCGGCTCACGGGAGCCCACGCGGAGCGGGCCGGGGACGGCTGCGGGCTCAGCCCCGGCAGGAGAGCCGCAGCGCGGGAACTCGGGCCGGGGCGGCAGCCTGCCGCCTCCCCGCCCCGCCTCCCGAGCGCCGCCCGGGGCGCGGCGCTACCTGCCGCTGCTTCTCCGCTCCGGGGCGGCGGGGGCCCGTCCCCGCCGTCCAGCGGCCCTGGCCCGGGCCCCCGGCTCCGGCTGCGCGTCACCATCCTCGCGCCCAGCGCGTGCATGCCGGGTCCCCGCGTCCGCAGCGCGCCGCCGGTGCGCGCCCAGAACTACAACTCCCAGCACGCCCCGCGCGCGCACGGGCCGCCGTCCCGAGGCCGGAAGTGCGGGTGGCGCTTCCGGCGGGCGTCTGGGGCTCTGGGTGCGCGCTCCGCTCCCAGCCCGGCCTCCCCGGCGCGCGGCGGCTGCGGCGCCGGCACCGTGTGGTCCGGCGGGGACGCGGGGCGCGGACCTCGCAGCGCCTGGGGCCCGGGCCCCGGCCGCGCCCTCCTCAGCCTCGCCCGGAGTTGCGTCCCCGCTCCGCCTGGGGGACCCCGGGCCCCGCTGCCGCGGGCACCGAGGTGGGCGGCCGTGCCCGAGCAGGCTTGACCGGCAGGCCGGTTTGTGGCCGGCCCCGTCTCCCCGCGGACCCCCTCGGGCAGGCGGGACAGAGACCCCGGGTGTGCGCGGCTGGCGGTCGGCGCCCCCACGCGCGCTTGCTCTGCGCAGGGGAGCCCTCCGCGGAGGCCCGCTCGCCATGGCCAAGCCGACGAGCAAGGACTCCGGCCTCAAGGAGAAGTTCAAGATACTGCTGGGGCTGGGGACCCCGAGGCCGAGCCCCAGGTCCGCGGAGGGCAGGCAGACCGAGTTCGTCATCACCGCCGAGATCCTGAGGGTGAGCGAGCCGGCGCGCGTGGGGCCGGGGTCTCGGCGTGCGATGCGGGTGCCGAGGCTGCATGTGGGCCGGCCGTGGGAGAGGTGGCAGGGGAGCAAGCGGAGCCCGCGTCAGCTGAGGACAGGGTGGGAGTGTGTGGTCCCGCGGAGGGAGGCCGGCCGCGCCGAGGCCGAACCCCGAGGGCCTGGGGTACCCGCGTCCCTTGCTGGGAGGTGTCCAGGCCGGGCGGGGCCGCGGCCACAGCAGAGGAGGGGGCGCTCGGTGCGGCGTTCGCCGAGGGGGTGAGGAGAACGTTCAGGAGTTAGTGGACGCGGTTGCAGACGGTGGGGATGCGTCTTTAAAGAATGGTTTAAAAAGGTGGAATTGGAGGTTCTTCGCGCTGGGTCACTCCCCAGATAGCTGCTATGGCCAGGGCAGGGCCAGGCCAAAGCCAGGAGCTCCATCCGGGTCTCCCACCTGGGCGCAGGGGCCCATCCGGGTCTCCCACCTGGGTGCAGGGGCCCAGCCACTTGGGCGGTCTCCTGCTGCTCTCCCAGGCCATCAGCAGGGAGCTGGATTGACGTGCAGCAGCTGGGGTTTAAACCGGCGGCCGTTTGGATGCCAGTGTTAAAGCTGTCTGGCCCCGCGTGTTTCTGTTTTTTAATTAAAGATTTATTGGAAAGGCAGAGCAGCAGAGGGAGAGGGCAAGATCTTCCTCCACTGGTTCAAAATGCAAATGGTTACAACAGCCAGGCTGCAGCCCAGAGTCCTGGCCCCCCACTGGACTGTAAGGGCCCGAACCCTCGGCCAGCTTCTGCCTTCCCAGGTGCAGCTTAACCCAGCCAACTGCTGTGCCACGGTGCCTGCCCCTGTTGTGTGAGTTTTGTCTCAAGAAGTTGCCCACGCTCAGGAAAGACCTGCCGAAGGCTCCCGCCTGTCCTCGAGTGGTCTGCGACGCGCTGGTTTCTTCTTTCTCCAGGAGCTGAGTGTCGACTGTGGCCTCAACAATCGCATCCGGGTCATAGGGCAGATCTGCGAAGTCGCCAAGACGAAGAAGTTCGAAGAGGTGGGTTTGTCTCCGCTGGGCTACGGGAGTCATGTACGCTGCCTAAAGCCGAGTTGAGGCACTGGCTTTGCCAACGACCACTCGGTGCTGCCCCGTGGTGGGCAGGTGTAACTCGGCTTTGCCAACGTCCACTTGGCGCTGCCCCGTGGTGGGCAGGTGTAACTCGGCTTTGCCAACGACCACTCGTTGCTGCCCCGTGGTGGGCAGGTGTAGTTCGGCTTTGCCAACGACCACTCGGTGCTGCCCCGTGGTGGGCAGGTGTAGCTCGGCTTTGCCAGCGTCCACTCGGCGCTGCCCTGTGGTGGGCAGGTGTAGCTCGGCTGAGTGCTGGGAACCTGTGTGGGGTTGAAGCAGAGATTGGGCTCTGCCAGCGAGGGGTGTGGTTTCACAGGGTTGGTGCCTTCTGGGAGGGGTGGCTGTGGCTGGCTGTCGGCGCCGGGTGCCCTCCCAGGTACAGGCAGGCTGCCCTCGGGCGGCTGCACCCTCTCCCGGTGTGCTGTGCGCAGAGCCGCCGTCAGCCTGGGGGTGCCGGGGTGCTCCGCCCCGGCCTCTCCCACCTCACGGGGGTCTGCTGAAGGAAGAGGGGCGTGGCTGTCTCGGCTGAGCTGAGCGTCGCGCTGCACACCAGCAAGGATGGGTGTGGGAAGTGGGCTCGCAGGAGCCCGGGGCGGCCTCAGCCCGCAGCAGTGGGAGTGCCGTGAGCAGGACAGGGGAGCTGAGAGGTGGGTGTTCCGCGCTGGCCGGGCAGTGTCCAGAAGGCCATGGCTGTCTTGTCCCCCTCCGAAGGAGGGCAGGCCTGGAGGCGCGAGGCGTCTGGCTGAGGTGGAGGAGCAGTGCAGGCGGCCCTGCCTGGGGGGCTCAGACACTGGCAGCGTAGGCAGTCCTGGCAGGTCTAGGGACAGTAATGGGCTCCCCGCAGGCTGGGGGGGTCCGTGGGAGGCAGTAGCTGCCCGGAGCTCTTCCTGGGCAGGCCAGAGTCTTGGGGTGGCATGGTGGCGTTCAGGCAGAGTCCTGACCCTGGTCCCCGATGCTCTGCGGAGCCGGCTGGGTTAGCGAGGGCAGCGTCCCTGGCTGCCTGCCGTGCCCCCCTTGCTCCCAAGCCTTCTTGGTTTGAAGGGACCTGAGCCTCCCCTGCTGTGGGGGGGCACGTGGGCTGTGAGCCTCGCGGGGGAGCAAGTTCCACGGCGGATGACCCCGTTGTTTGCTCTGTCCCTTGCTGGTGGGACTGTCCTCGTGCTGTGGGGCCGGGGTTCTCGGAGCCACAGCCTTACTGTCTCTGTGCTGCCGCAGCACGCCGTGGAAGCCCTGTGGAAGGCCGTGGCTGACCTGCTGCAGCCAGAGCGGCCTCCGGAAGCCCGGCACGCGGTGCTGGCCCTGCTGAGAGCCATCGTGCAGGGGCAGGTGAGCGGGGGCAGGTGTGGGGAGGCCCTGGGCACGCAGGGGAGGTGTGGGGAGGGCCTTGGGGCATGCAGGGGAGGTGTGGGGGAGGCCCTCAGCACGCAGGGGCAGGGGCAGGTGTGGAGTTGGCCATGGGGCACACGGGGCAGGTGTGGGGTTGGCCTTGGGGCACGCAGGGGCAGGTGTGGGGAGGGCCTTGGAGCACGCAGGGGAGGTGTGGGGAGGGCCTTGGGGCACGCAGGGGAGGTGTGGGGTTGGCCTTGGGACACGCAGGGGCAGGTGTGGGGAGGGCCTTGGGGCACGCAGGGGAGGTGTGAGAAGGGCCATGGGGCACGCAGGGGAGGTGTGGGGAGGGCCTTGGGGCACGCAGGGGAGGTGTGGGGTTGGCCTTGGGGCACGCAGGGGCAGGTGTGGGGAGGGCCTTGGGGCACGCAGGGGCAGGTGTGGGGAGGGCCATGGGGCAAGCAGGGGCAGGAGTGGGGTTGGCCTTGGGGCATGTAGGGGCAGGAGTGGAATTGGCCTTGGGGCACGCAGGGGCAGGGGCAGGAGTGGGGTTGGCCATGGGGCATGCAGGGGCAGGAGTGGGGTTGGCCATGGGGCACGCAGGGGCAGGAGTGGGGAGGGCCTTGGGGCACGCAGGGGAGGTGTGGGGGAGGCCCTCAGCACGCAGGGGCAGGGGCAGGAGTGGGGTTGGCCATGGGGCACGCAGGGGCAGGTGTGGGGTTGGCCTTGGGGCATGCAGGGGCAGGGCAGGAGTGGGGTTGGCCTTGGGGCACGCAGGGGCAGGGGCAGGAGTGGGGTTGGCCTTGGGGCATGCAGGGGAGGTGTGGGGTTGGCCTTGGGGCGTGCTGTGGTGGAATCGATGAAGACACCTGCAGATCTGGTGGTTAATGGACTCTGGAGTGAGATTACCTGGTGTCACTGCTGGTGTCTGTGTCCCTGTGTGGGTGTCCTGGTGTCCCTGTGTCCCTGTGTGAGTGTCCTGGTGTCCCTGTGTGGGTATCCTGGTGTCACTGTCTCTGTGTCCCTGTGTGCATGTCCTGGTGTCACTACTGGTGTCTCTGTGACCCTATGCGTGTCCTGGTGTCACTGCAGGTGTCTGTGTCCCTGTGTGGGTGTCCTGGTGTCCCTGTCTCTGTGTCCCTGTGTGGGTGTCCTGGTGTCCCTGTGTGCGTGTCCTGGTGTCTGTGGGACCCTGTGCGTGTCCCTGCAGCCCCTGAGCTAATGCTCGCCTGTAGGGGGACGGTGGTCCTACCTTCCTCCTTGCCGTGCTCTGGGGATTAACGAGGGCATCCGTGCAGAGTGAGTGGCGCTGGACATGGCTGTTGATACCTTGGTCCTGCTGCCTGTCCCCAGCCAGGGCCACTCCTCCACACGGCAGCAGCCCTACTGGTTCCCGCCGCCCCGGAACCCTGTCGACCGTCCCTGTCCCTGCCTGGAACGCGCCTGCCCAGGGGCTGCATGGAGAGGCCCGGCCACCCTGCTGCGGCACAGCGGTGCTCAGCACACCCACTCTGCAGGGTGTTCCTGTGGGAAGGGGAGGCTCAGGGCCAGAGTCTGGACGTCCCGGTAGCTGTGGGCGCAGGTGACCCCGTGTTTTTTCCTCCAGGGGGAGCACTTGGGGGCCCTCAGAGCCCTGTTCTTCAGGGTCATCAAGGATTACCCCTCCAACGAGGACCTGCACGAGAGGCTGGAGGTGTTCAAGGCACTCACGGACAACGGGAGACACATCGCCTACCTGGAGGAGGAGCTGGGTGGGTGCCGCGTCGGCGGTGGTC